CGATAGAAACGTTTACGGGCTATTCGTTGCTGATCAAATTTTCAGCTTTTAAGCATGTCTTCGCCGCCAAAATCTTGTTTTAATTAGAGCGGAGAAATCGAGGTTTTTCCATTTTTTGGACCAGCTCTAACTAAAAGAAGTTTTTGGCGGCGAAGACATGCTTAAAAGCTGAAAATTTGATCAGCAACGAATAGCCCGTAAACGTTTCTATCGAATGATGTGTTTTGAATTTTTTTCGCGCAATTCTCTTGGTTAGGAAACGTGAAATACTCAGGAAGTAAGATTTTCCAATTGTGTAAAACACTGTGTTTTTGCTTTGGCTCAGTCAAATTAAGCCGGAACTTAACTATTTTCTCAGGGTTTATAGTACTCAACGTAGGCTTTCTTTTGGCGAAAGAAGGGAGTCTGTATCTATCAAGGAAGTTGAGTTATTGCAAAAACAAAAAAGGTCTTAAACTTTTGTGGAGCACTTTTACTGGTACCGGTACCGGTACTGGTGCATACCTAAATAAAATAGTAAAAAGAACTGAGGAAGAAATGCCGGCTTTTTCCTGCCGTGGTTTTCTGTTATAATAAGGCTTGATGTTCTACATGCCTAACGGTCATCAATTTTTTAAGCTGGTCGTTGCTTTATCAAAGCTTGCTTCAAACTTCAGTTCAAAACGAGCTTACTTTATTCCTATTGTTTGGCTGTGACCGTATTTTTCTTAGAGATGCACAGTTTTAAGTTCGAATTTCAATCGGTCTTATTGTTGGAAAGCGGACAAGCGAGAATGAAATCTTCCTCCTTCTAACACATCATATATATTTGAATTCGTTTGTTTTTGTTCTTAAATAGCCATTACAGCAGCGATTAGCATCGGCCCCGGTATTGTGTGCATTTCGGCCAATGTGACCGACAAAACGGGTACCAAAGTGATATGGACATGGATAGATCCAAACTATTGCGTGACGAGTGACACAATCTCAGGTGCCACAAAAAATACCGACGGTCTTTTCGATCGCGGCGCTATAGGCACTGGGTCAACGTTCAATACGCCCGGGACATTCTCGTACTACTGCCAGATCCACTACAATATCGGCGCCGACACGAAGGTCAAGATCATCGTCACACCATAGACAGGTTAGTCAATGCCTTCTGTGCCTGGAATTGTTTAATTTCCCAAAAAAGAAACACTCGCTCTTTTGTATGAGGAGTGAAGCCTTTGTGAGCATTTTTCTCTTCGAGGTTTATAAATTTCCAGTCAGAAAAATGAGAAGTGGTGTATCGATGTCTGCAGAAATAATAGACAAAAAACAAATCAGTCTTTATAAAAAAGTTGAAATTTCTTCCACGGCAGATTTATGCATAAATCGCCCCCCGTCCTTTAGGAAAACACCGTGAACTCACAGTATTTTTTAAGACATCATTAGACACATACCGATTTTACGGAGGGTATTGTCACGAGTAATTCTTTTAATGGTACAAATTTTAACAAATCAAATATTGCTGATGAATAACTATTTCCATCTCAATAAATTTATGTTTATTATTCATCCGAATAGTACTTGCAACACAAAAATGATGGAAAAACTGATTAATTAAAAAAGGTAATGGTGGTGAACAAAGTTGTTCAATGAAAAATTACAATGACAATGTTCTACGAACAGATATTTATTTTCGCAAATATCTGTTCTTTTCTCCATTTCTTGTTTTTCATGTTTATATAATACGTGTAGTTTCTGAGTTCTTTGTCATTCGTTCTCCTGATGATGCCGAGTGTTACTCGTCGAAAGCTTGAGATACAATTACTGTGGATTCGAATAAAATCTAATTATGTACTTCGTATCAGTATGGTACTATCCAATTCGTTACACACCATGCACACAGTAAAAAGTATTGTGGCGCATTTTGTGTTGCAGTAAAATGTGTCGCAGCTCCTGTGAGAAAATTGTGTCGCAAAAGAATGTGTCGCATATTTGTGTCGCCGTTATTCTTCTTCTTCCAAAAAAAAGTTCTTTCAATTTTGCATTGATGTTATTCGTGGCTAAAGATTCCTGTCTAAGTCTTTTTAACCTTTTTTCTTTGACGAAAACTAGCCAATCCGAGGCCTTGACTACACTATTAATCTCACATCTGGGAAACTGAATATTTTGAAGGCCTGTGAATATTACGGGTGGATTGAGCTCGGCGACAATACGTAGTGTACCCAAAACGAACTAAAAATATTCTTAAAATCGAATAAGAGATCAAAAATACCTAATTTCCACTGTTTTCTTTATAGTAGAAATACTCAGCGGAATTTGTTGCAAGTGGTTCCCGGTGTCGCAAATGATTATGTCGCACATTATGTCGCAATTTGCGACACATGCGATACATTATTTTTTAGTGTGCATGTCTATGTGTTTTACGAATTCACCATATTCAGAGTGATTTTAGAAAATTGGTGGGTAGAGAGAAAGTCTCTCTTGGTGATCTAGATCCAGATAAGATTTTCGAAAACTTTTAATGTCAATCGATAGAGGACATCAAGATGTATCCATAAAATAATTTGACTAAGTTTTGACCGAGTTATTCCGATTTGATCTGCTTCATGGTATTTTAGAGCAAAAAGTGTTTTTTAAACATTGTAAACCAAATTTCGCTCGAAGGAAGCATTTTAGAGGAAAAATGGTGGTGCGAAAGTTGTTCAGAAAAATGTTGTTTTTTTCTTTTTGTTTTTTTTCAAGTTTCTAACTATTGTCGTTCACTAGTTTTACAGAAAACTAGGGTTTTCATTGTGTCACATTACGATTCCTCTTAAATTTCACCCGATAGAGTTAAAAATTTGACCAGAAGTACTCAAGATCATAGCGCAGAGGTGTGATTTTGAAATCTTATTTTAGATCTTTCTTTACCGAGTTATAGGAAAAATACCGAAAAACTTTCGAAAACCAAGTTTTTAAATTTTAGAAAATTTGGAAAATACACACAGGACATAATATTAGACGAAAAACCAGTCTTTGTACCTGCAACTGCAATATACATATTTCCCACTGAGGATACGACACATTCTTTTATTGTGTATCTGCAATTTCTTATTCATTAACAATCACGTAGTGCTCTTTGCTGTTTTATTACGAGAGCGAGTTTGTGGTGTAGATTTTATACAAAAATATTAATCATATTCAAAATAAGAAAAAAAGATACTAACCATACAAAAATCAAATTAAATTTACGTAAAAAAAAAATACTTGCTTGATTAGAAAAGATTTTATCACATAAAATTGGAAATTAGTGTGAACAATGATTTAGCAAATGTAATAAATACCATAACAACGTATGAGAAACTAAATTCATTTGAACCGTTGAACTGAACACGGTATATTCGTCCATTTCCATCTTCAGTTAAAAGTAAACTACCATCTTTCAGAACGAGTAGACCAACTGGTCTCCCGAATGTTTCAGGAACTTCTGGTTTCGTTAGAAAGCCGTAGATAAAGTCTTCATAGTAGCCTAAAGGACGATTATCTGAACCGAATGGAATAAAAACAATTTTATATCCGGTACCGGTATTTTTATTCCATGAGCCTCTTAATGTAGCAAATGCGCCATTTTGATATCGTTGTGGAAATGATTTTCCTGTATAAAATCGCATATCGAGAACGGCTGAATGAGCTTGAAATAAAACATCTGGACTTTTTGTTTGTGCAACTAAATCAGGTCGTTCGCTTGTGCCATTAGTAAATCTACGTCTTGGATCGATATTCTTCGAACTTAAATAAGAGTATGGCCAGCCATAAAATTCGTCCTGTTGTATATGAGTGAAATAATCTGGCACCAAATCATCGCCTAAGAGATCACGTTCTTGTACGGCAGCATAAAGATCGTTTGTCACCGGATGAAATGCTAAACCGACTGGATTACGAACTCCTGAGACAAATGTGTGATTATTTGTACCATCTAAATTTATTACTTGTACAGTTGCACGAGGCGAGGGTTCTTCATCTACATTACTCGCTGATCCTATTGTAACATAGAGTCGATCATTTGTAGGTGCAATAACGATATTTCTTGTCCAATGTCCTCCTCCAGGAAATCTCATCAATATTTGACCTGTGCCTTGAATACTACGACTTCCATTTTGATACGGATAACGTCGAACATCCACCTGATTTCCAACATAAAAATATCCGTTGAAAAATACCATACCGATTGGTTGATTTAACCCGTTTGACGAATCAGCAAATGTTTGTGTTTCATCCGGATATGAATCATTGTTTGTATCAATGAGAATGGTGATCTTATTTGCACCAATCTCTGTAACGAGTAAATCACCAGTGGGCGTATAACACAACCAACGTGGTCGATTCAAGTCATCTTTATAAACTGATATGGTAAAATTTTCCGGTAAATAAAACTTTGGATTACTTGGAGGACTAACGATTTTAGGTGATTTTCTTACAGAGGACGTCGCATAAGGATCAGGTAATTCATTAAGTGAAATTCGAATTGCCGTTGGCGTAAATGTAAGATTATCACTGACTGAATTTGATATGAATATTGCAATAAAGACGATGAGGCGTAACATATTTTGGATCTAAAACAAGAATGACATAAGATAGAGGAGACAGTGGTATTTCATACTATTGTGTAATACACCTATAAAAATGAGAATTAACTTATCCAGAAATTAACTTACGTTTATTTTACCACAGTACTACCTTGAATATTAAAGACGCAGAATATCGATCAGGCTAGTATATTTAAAAAGAAATAGTCCTTTTTTTGCTTATCACAATCAAAGTTCATTCGCAATGTGAGATACATGATATCTTATTTTTGTGTTATTGTTTTCTCGCATGATGCTGCATGTGTACAATTTCTTCATTTGCACATTATTCGAGATTCTCCTTTTTTTCACGTTCCAACTACAGCGACAGAAAGAAAAAAGAAAATGACACAAATACAATAGCATTCTAAGAGAGAGGGGAGATGTATAAATAGAGATCATAGCATGTTATGTAATGCCCATACTTTTAATAATAAGGTTATTCTGTGGGCGATTTGATAGGTCACGGTATTTCTACGTTGTACTAAGCTACTGTCCTACCATTACCTGGTTTTTAATACATTATTTATCGGTGTATTAAAAAATAAGATTGTTCTTTGAGTTTGTGTTTGAATCCAAGAAGAATGTCTTGAGAAAAATCTTTTCTGAAGTTCAGACAAATAACATGGGAAGAAGACATTCCTTCACAGGCTGTCTTGTAGACGCAATTTTTTTTACTCTTTTCAATATCACTGTTAACTATTTTCCTTCGTCGATGGGTGTATCGCGATCATAATGATTTTTATTCCTTTCATCAATCTTTTGGTCTCTGCTAGCTCAAATTTACCGTTCTTGGTGAAGAAAGAGGGAAAGCAGTTTTCAAAACTAATTGTCGTTGTCAGGGTATTCAGCTCAATTTCGGTTGAGTGTTTAGTTCTTCTAATGTTTTAAAATGCACAGATGTAGCAGCTCAAGTACATTGGTCTCATAGAAATGAAAATAATGGATATTGTCACAAAAAATGCATGAGGGTGGAAGATCATTAACAATGGAATTTTACAGCAAAAAGCATTTTTAAAACACCTTGAACCAAATTTCGCTCGAAGGAAGCATTTTACAGAAAACGTGTTGATACGAAAAATTCCAAGAAAAACTAAAAAAACATTTTCTTAAAAACTGCAAGTCTGGTGACCAAAGAAATTGCACCATATATGTTTCAAACTGTCCTGCACAAACGGGTAAAAGAACGAGTTCTTGCTCTTCATCCGTGAATACATAATACATGTAACTGCCTACATGTGTATTCCGTTAATCATCAAATTGTACTTTGATACGTTATGAATTAACAACAAGTTTATTCGAATAAATAACAAAATAATTTTATTAATCTTTTAGCTTCTAAGATTTTGTATTATCACCCTGTCACACCCTGACATTATGCAAAATGTTTTAAAATATACATTCTGACCACAGGTTATCTAAGATAATCCGTTTTCAGTACAAAAGTACAAATTTATACTGAATTACTGTCTTATAAGTACATAACAGAGTATAATAAAAATTTCGAAGACGAGTACAACATTTTACTTGTTAACCGCATGAGATCCTTCACAGATGCATTTGCTAAATATTGCACAGTGGGCATTTTTTGCTAGAGCAGGCGGACTTTAGCTTTATGAGTGAACTAAAATTTCATGAACCATTTTTTTATAGGTTTTTCATGATCCTCTTTCTAATGCCATGAGAGTTGG